ACACACACACACACACACACACACAAACACACACATACACACACACAAATTACAAACACCTTATTAAAAGAAATAAAGCAACTATTCATCATGCTGAACTATGAGGAAGTTCCGAAATTTTCAACCGAGATTCGAACATAAAACTCCGCTGAAGAGAAACTGGCAAACCGGTCCTGGAGAGTTTGTCAGCTCTGTTGTTCTCGAACCCGATCCATGTGGAAATGTTGGCAAAACATAGCGTTCTCAGAGACCAGGGCTGGTATCGTAGGGTAAGGGCTAGGTCCACACACGCGTCGTCACTGCTGCGTTGTAACTCGGCCATCAGAGCTGACCACAGCGGGGGCGACCAGGAGAGATCGAAGGCATTCAGAAAACTGATAGACAGAAATGCCTGGACCAAACGCGCGTTCTTGAACACGAAGGCGGCGAGTAAAGGCGACAAGGGCGTAGACCTGAGGATTTTGGGAAGCCTATTGATCATACCGTAGACTTCTGGAACATACTCTAGGACTTTGAGGGTTGGCCAAACTCCTCCGTTGCAAAGCATACGCTCTACCACGTCACTCAGAGAGTAAACGACGATTTCATGCACGGTTTGCGTGTATTTCATCCCTGAGTCGATCAGGGAAAGACACAGATCCGTTTCTCTCTGCCTGACGGCTCGTCTTAACATCCAGGTCCCCGTTTCAGAGTCCTCTAGAGGTGGTTTCGCTCCTGCTTGGAGCAAGGCCAACGCAGGGTCGAACCAAGACATGCCAAACAACGAGAAAGCCATCTTGAGCGCCGTTTCGTTTTCGTGGTTCCGGGTGTTTACGTCCACGCCCAGCTCGATTAGAAGATAGACAATCTCTACATCCATACGCCTGGACAGCGCTATCATCACAGCCGAGTTGCCCTCGCGGTCACATGCGTCCATGTTTGCTCCGGCTTCCGCCAGAAGTCTGATGACCCTATTTCTATCCCGCCACACGGCCTGAATCAGGGGCGTCGTTCCTCTACGGTTTGCGGCGTTCGGGTCAGCCCCAGCATCTATGAGCCTGGATATGATCTCATCCTCCTCGTTACACGACACAGCCAGCAGGAGGGGACTCTGTTCATGCCTGTCGGGGATGTTAACATCTGCGCCGTACAACAAAAGACAGTTCAAAAGTTCAAGACTCATTTTCCCTCGTCGTTTCAAAGAGGAGGTTAGAGCTGTTTCTTTTTCTTTATCTCTATGGTTGACGTCCACTCCGTGCTGACATAATAACTTGACTATGTCTGCCCTGTCGTTTGGAACAAACTCGAGAGCCGTTGCCTCTGTCTTGGTTAACACATGTACGCACGCCTCTCCCTCTTCCAACAGAACACGAACCACCTCAGCGTGCCCAGATTGGGCAGCTAGCATCAAACTCGTGTGTCCGTCTTTGTTCTTCACGTTGACTTTTGCCCCGTTGGAAATCAAATATCGCACAATTTCCAGATGACCAAGTCTCGAGGCTTCGTGCAGCGCAGTGTTCCCCCCTGCCCCCATCACCGCGAGATCCGCCCCTGACTCTACCAAAACCTGTACGACCTCCAAATGACCCCGAATCGCAGCCAGAAGGAAAATGGGCGTGTCCCGAGTCCGCTTACGTCGAGCCCACTCGGGGTCAAAGTTCACCAACACCCGAGTAATCTCCACGAGACCGCTGGAAGCAGCACACCCTAGGGCGTGGAGGAATGTCTTCTGTCTACGACTCGCGTCCTCCATGGAGCCCAGGGAGGTCAGCTGTGACGTCACAGAGGCCACATCCCCGTCCATGACCGCTCGGGTCAGTTTGTTCTTATGCATGATTAATAAGCAGCCTGATCCGATCAGAGACTTTCGGTATCGTCGGCTCCGGTCTGAAGTGTGACGCTTGGGATCTGGAGAACAGAAAAGACCCAAGTAATAATAATATTATAGTTCTGATTTAAGGGATATCAACGATAATATTGATAATAATAATAAT